AAAAAAAAAAAAAAAAAGAAGAAAAATTGGAGTGCCTGAAGACTGACACACATACATGGCCAGATCAGACCTGCAAGTTAGATTTCAACAGCATGAGGTTACTAGAAATTCTAGCCCAAGTCTCCACCTTATCTACAATTAAGGCATTATTCTTTTAATATTCAATGTATAAAGAGGTTCTGGAGACTTTTTACAAAAGTAGAAACTGTAATATCTTCACTCTCTGATTTAGTTTATTTTTTTTTAAACCTAGAGTTCCATAAATACTGATATTTATGGAGGGGGCAAAATGCAGCCCTTGAATAAAACAGGAAAACTTTAAGGACATAATCTCATTTTAGATGTGACCTCAAATTTGGAAGAAGAATTATCATCCCCTATGTATTACTGTCAAAGGGCAGCACCTTAGTGAAGGTGCTGTTCTGTGGTGCCTCATCCACTCTCAGAACGAGAGCATCTGAGGCAAGGTAGAGGTGCACCTTATAGACTAATTGAATCAGGTGGTCACCGATTCATTTAGACTATAAGGTTTGCTTTTCCTTGTCTTCTGCCTGGATTTAGACTAACATGGCTAACTACCTCCTTGAGATATTTTAAGTGTAAATCTAGTGCAGTATGTAGCGAAATTGAGGGGAGAAGAATTTACTTCTGTGGGACAGTGTCCAAAAGTGGCCAAATGTTACACATACCTCTTGGAAAGCAATGGACCAAGCTTACCAGGGAGCCTTTAAAAGCCATCAAAGTTATTTCACTGTGGAGTCCTGGTGGTTCCAGGCAAGACATGTATACATTAGCATTCGTACTAGTTGCAAGTATGGGCTTGTCTAATTCCAGTGTTGAGTAAAAGAATTGTTAGGGCACATTTAAGGAAGAGCCTGAAGAACTAACTGCTACAACCTCTTTACATTTGGATCAGAAATGTTCTAGCTATAGACTGTTCTGATCCCAGCATTTAATAGTATCACATTGCTTTCAGATGAGGGCTGAAAACAGCTTTGGAAAATTTTTTTTGTTTATTAATTTATATTGCATAAGCAAAAAGTATTTGTTTGAAATAACAGTTAACTCTGTTGCTAAAATTTTTGTTTGCTCAGTCATGGCTTCAAGCAATATTCAGTTTGTGAGCAATTTTCTTTTTCCTTTTTGTAATTATTTACCTTTAGAACTGTCAAGAACTTCAGCTGCAGAAGAGCACTTTCCTGTTGTACTTGTAATTTCTTTCCTTCTTAGCCCCAAGGGTTTCTACCTGCATAGTGGACCACAGCAGAAATGTTATGTTTACTGTGCTAATGAAAGATCATTAATCAAAAGCCTATTAACAAAGTGTGTGGTCAGTGCAGAAGTGTAATTTCAAACACTTGTCATCAAGGCACAATCTCACATATTGTATGCAGCAGTGCATATATCATCATCTACTGTAATGTGTTACTTTGTGTTGTATTGTGGATGGTTTTTAATGTTTTATGGATGATGTCTAAATATTTATGAAATCAAACCTCTACCAGAGGGGACATGTCTCTTTGGCACACTAGATGCTTTTATTTACGAGGTGCTGGACTTGTTTTTCTACTGCCTTACACATTTATGATCATTTATTAATGCACATAATGGGTGTGAAGCAGTCCTGTTCTGATTTGCAGCTCTTTTGAACCCATTTTCTGCAGGTTTAAATACATGCTGTATGTTGTGCAAGGCCTCTGCAGTTTGTATGATGATGTGATGGCTGCACTTTGAATGAATTGGATTGTTTTGGAAGAAAATCAGTATGCATTACTTGTTGATGTCAGAAGGCCTGCATATAAATTCATATGAACTCCTGCCATGAGAAGCTTACAGATTTAAAACAACTTGTTTATAGATTAAGATCTAGTGCTCTGATGGGTTTTGGCTGCTTTGTGCCATTCAGTACAGCTGTGCTAATTCACACTAGCTAAAGACCCAGCCTAACATTCAATAAGCATGTATACAGAAAATCATATTATTAAAGAATAAGAAAGAAATACCTTACATAAATAACAAATCTGGCCTGCTACAATTCAAAACGCATCTAAAAAGTTTAGTTACAGTGAAGAACAATAACAGAAAAATGAACTGCATTTTCAAAGGGGTGAGGTTTCCTGTGTGACTCCCTTGGTCAGCCAGCTTGTCAGAGAACTCGCTCACTGTTTTGTTTAACTTTTGTGCATCTCTTCCCAATCTGTTTCTACTTTTCAGATTTCTTTCTTACGCTTGGCTCATTGCCTTATCAAACAGGCTGGTCTCTCAGTGGGGTATTTCTGAGGGTCTGTCCCATGTGGAGATCCCCACCCTGGGAATATGTGTGGGAAGAGGGTGTAGCAATGGAAAAGGCAACTAACTGCAGAGGCCCATGGGTCACATGTTAACTGCTTGTGGGCTGCCAGATGGACAACCCTAATCTAATCTATACTAGATACAAATCACAGAGAAATTAACAGATTTCTTGGGGGGAAAAAGAAGAAAAAAGAAAAATACATTTTCAAATGGAATGTGTTTTTTTTCCGGTAGTGGAATCTCTTAGTGTTAGGAAATTGAGAGTTATGGAAGGAGATAAGAGATTCAGTTTTAAGCATACTGTACAGGGTTTTCTACTATAAACACACTTCCCATAGTTACCTTTCTCATTTAACATATTAGATTCTACCAGGTGTTACCTTCACATGTGCTAGGCAATGTTAGAACAAGGTTTAGACGTTAGGGAGGCATGTGAGACTATTTGAAGAGAACTTTTTTATTGGATTTCTAACAATAGGTGTTTTAATTTCCAAATAGAATCCAATCTCAGGTAGTATTTTAGTCCCTCACTTCTTGTACTGTTTCATTTGTTTGTAATACAGATGTTGCTTCAGTAACTAGGGACTTGGAACCTCCTCACAGAACAGCATTCTTCTTTCAAAGGACAGTCATTCTACTCTATGTTGTTCTTCTCTAGGGAAACCCTTGTGATGATTTAATGGACTTTTAACCATTTTTGCTCCATCCTCATATCAATGCATAGACCTTTGGTGCATGGGCCTGGCCCTTGTATAGGAGACTCTGCAGCTGCCATGGTAGTGTCTCCACCCTTCTGGATAGCATGATGGGTGCTCCATAGATCACGGATCCTTGGAGAGATGCAGAAGGAACTGGACAGGACTCAGATGGAGTTGTGATTGGCAGAATCAAGGCAAGGCAAGAGGGAAGGCCCTTGTCCTGCAGCATTGTTAGGGCCATAGCTTCAGGGGCTGCAGCTAAAGCCATGGGGAACAACCAAGGGCTGGTGAGGATTGCCCTGAACTCTTGTTCTGTCCTGGAATATATGCCTATTCTGGCAGATCTGCAACCTTTGTGGACTAATCCCAAGACCCTTCTGCTGAGGAACAGGAGAATCTAATCCGATTGCATTGAGTAACAGCTCTTCAAGGAGATCCACTGGGATTTTTTCTCCTGAGGCCCTAGCAGGTGGTGGTGTCCCAGGAGGGAGAATGCAGATATGCACTTTACATTATAAAGAAGATGTTACACTAAAACTGGCATTGACTTGAAAAGCCAAAAGCACAGAGGTCTTTGGAGTGCTTCTTTGATCAAGAAAAAATGTAATTCAAGTTGTAGTCTTGGTTTTACTGGTTTTGATTGATGTGCCTCTTGTATGCTCTGAAGTAATTTATCTCAAAGTAATACACTAGTTTTGTTTCCTTTAACAAAGTTTTCTATTTTATAATACTTTCTGATGATTGGAACTGTAAGCAGAGTAAAATATAATATGAATGTGATTATAATTATGCTTGCTAATCAGTTCTTTTTAAGGTTGCAGTTTGAATACTGCCATCATTCCACTGCAGACCTTCCTGCAACATGGTCCTAAAACAAAGTACTGATTCATCAGATGTTCACTCCAGATGTGCTGCTTTTCATGCAGGTTGCGACAGGAGAATGAAATGGTTGATTCAGCTCCTCAATGGGAAGCAGTGCTGAGGCGACAAAAGGAGAAAAACCAGGCTGATCCCAACTACAGGCGATCCAGGCACAGATCTCGATCGTATGTGAACATTTTTTATGCTTTGACTTACAGTACTGGTTGTCTTAGATTTTAATTGGGGGTGGGGTGGAGGGTAGGGGGGGAAGCATGGCATCAAGCCTAGGGCTGACTAACAGGGGGTGCCCTTAAGGTTTCTTCCATTTTCTTCTTCTCTACTCAGCATTTCCCCACTCTGGTGGGCACTCTCACTTCCCCATAAGATTCCTCTCCATCTGCTGTTCCCTCCAAGCACACTACCCTGCAGCCCTGCATTATTCTTGACCTTTTCTCTGCACCCCCTTCTGAAGCTGCCCAGCTGCTCTGGCATCCATTCACCCTTGCCACCAAATTCGGCTCTGTAAATTTATTCTTAGCATACATTTTGGCAGCAGAGAAAGTAAGAGAGTGGCCCTCAGTACAGAGCAGAGAGGGCTGGGGGAGGTGAAAAGAAGGTGGACTTGCTTGCCTCAGAAGCAGGTGGAAAGAGCCATTGTGGGAAGTGGGTGGGGTGGAGGGTGCAGGAGTGCTCACCAGGTTCTCCCAGGGCACAGATCTTATTAGTTCTGCCTCTGTGATTAACTCTAGAGCTAATCATTCCAGCCCAGTTGTTATTACCATGCTGAAACAGATGAATTACCATCCGGCCTATTCTTCCTGTATGAGAAATGGTTATTGATATTAAAATGCTTTATGTTGAGACTTTATACTGTTACTGGGTATTTAAAACATTCACTTTCAACACCCAATGAGACTCAAATGTTAAAACATAATAAAATACAGAGCTAAAATGTGGCTGTTGTGACTCATTGTGTTGAAGTAGTAAGTAGAGTATATTAAGTCTGAGTTGCGTGACTTTTTTTATTTAAATAGAACATGCTATAAACTAGGAAATACATTTTGAACTCAGCTTGAATATAAAATCTGCAACAATTTTTTTTGCTAGTGCAAAGAAAGTTTCTATTACATTAATGACACAGCAGGCGCTCCCTCTGGTGGCTGATTTAACTTATGAAAAGTCTTGTAGTTTGTTTCTTTGCCAGAAGTTTATGCTAAGTAGTCCAGTGGTATAAAAGGCTTTGATGGGTGATATTTTCATTAAGTATTATGGATGTAGCATCACAAATATAGAAGTGCTCTTCAGAATAAGAAAAGGCCCCAGATGGTGCAGTGAGAGCCCTGAGGACAGTAGGTGACTTTCTCCCCTTCGTTTTGACAGTGATGAATATATTTCCATCATTTTGTTCTTTTCTACACAAAACAGCACTAAATCTGAATAAAATAAAATTGACCCATACAAACACAGGAGAAGAAAACACAGTAAAAGAAAAAATTAACTTCTTTAAGATGTTACAAAACTAATAGAGTAAAAGTCTTTTAATCATTTAAATAGCCAAATTAAACATGACCTATAGGACCTACATACAGTAGGTTGTAGAGTTTATTCAATTTAGGCAAGGCTCAGCTGTGTGATAATGTGTCTTCATGCATCTGAGAGAGAGGAGGATCAATTAGGTTCCTAGTTTAGAGTATGGGTGGGAGGTGGTTGTCCTTTTTAAATCTGGTAATAAGATGGTTCATTCCAATTCACATAGCTAGCAATTGACACTGAACTCTGTCATTTTAGTAGTGTGGGTAAGGCCTTCATGTAAACTTGCCTCCCTTCATTCAACTATAAAATACAAAACGGGGTCACTTTAAGAGCTTGAAGTAGAGAGACAAAGCATCATTAACTGGATCTGGTTTAACTTAGCTCATCACACTTAATTTGTTTGATAATGAGTAACATTAATCAGTGTTGACTTTGGCTTTTTTCCTCTTTTGTTCTGGGAAGAAATATTTGACAAATAATTGACCTTTGCTAACTTTTATAGCAACAACAAAAATAGAAAGCTCCAAATTCTAGTTCTGCAGGATTTGTTTTTAAAGCTCAAGTAAAACATCTGTGTAGCCAAAGGGCTTTTTTAATTAAGAAGAATGGCCATTAAGATTCCATGGCTACTAAACGCTGCCTAGCTGCAAATCATGAATTCAAACTGAATTATTAATAAGGGTACAGATGCAAACACAAAATGCAGACCTTATTAACATATAGGATTGTTTGAGCTTGTAGACAATGAAATACAAGCCTTGGAGACACCACTTAATGGGAATTCCCCTTAGATTTATTGAGCCTTAGAGAATCTGATTCATTTAGGAATTGTCCAGAGCTACTGTCTGTTCTCAGGCAGGTCAGATTTATATAACAGGACCATCTGAATATATATTATTTATAGTATTATAGTTGAATGCTAAACTGTGGACTGTAAAATATTTTACAATAGAAATGGGGGGGTGGAGACTTGTTTCGCATTAATAATCAAGGAAGATTATATTAAGTGAGAATCTTTGTATCCTTGTCTAGGATTGGAGCTCAGCAAGCATAATCTTGAACTTAATTTAAAACAGAATGTTTCCTAAGAGTTTCTAGACTATATTTAATTATTTTCAATATTTTAAAAACATACATGTACAAAAAACCATCCATTTACAATATTTATTAACAAAATTGGTGCCCAGAGCAGGGGGGTTGGACTGGATGATCTTTCAATGTCCCTTCTAGCCCTTAATTTCTATGATTTGTGTGATTCCTATGATTTCATATATATATTTGTAATGCCTACATTTATATCCTTAGAGTGTCTTATTTTTTGTAAGCTTTTCCTACAGTTAAGGCTTTTCCACCTTTGAGACTGGGTCCTGATGCTGCTACCTTCATAGGTGAAAAAGTTTATATTTCCCCCATCCAGGGAGAGCTTGCAAAATTATTTGCCCAATCCCAGACACCAGTGTAGGTTTTTAAAAACATTATTAAAGGTTTTAGAATAAAATCTAAAATGGAAATAAATTGAAAAGTTAACGCTACAAATTATATTATCTGTATCTTATACCATAAATAATAGTGCTGTGAAAATTATGCTTTCCTTTATTCATGCTACCTTACCACAAATTAAATAGCATAAGGCTGTCTCAGTAAAATAACACTCAGTAAGCACATAAAAGGTAAAGAGTGTACTGACAGTTTACAAAGGCGTTGCTTAGCTCCTTTCCTTTTTATTGTTGCATAAGGTTTTTTTTCAGGGGGGAGTGGAGGGGGGACAGGGCCACTAGTATTTCACAACCCAAGCTGCTTATTTCTGTATTTGGAAAAAAAAGTCCACAAATGGAAAAGCCTGCATGTTGCTAGCAATACGACATAGCTTGTTGTATTTGCTGCTGTGAAGAGTGGCATTAGATGTACTAGTTTCTATTATTTCTTTGTGTGCATGTATGTGGAGGGGACATGGGAGGAAACAAGCATGGCTTGTATAGTGGTTGAGGAGGCATGGCCTAGCGCGTTATTACTGCTTTAACCCAGAAGTCAAGATTTCTCAGGTGGTGGGCTATAATGGGATATACTGTAAAATCTGGGGCCAAGCAGTGAAGTTTTATTTCCACATATAAATGTAAGTATGGCCTAATCTAGTGGATTAGTGGATTGCACAATATGGTGCCTTGCAAGAGGACTGGGTTTAGGAGTGATCCTGGAGCATTTCTTCCTCAGGCTAACTATGACTTGTGAGCACTATGGGGCAATACCCCTCCTTTGAGAAGCTAGGATAGATCTTTCAGTGAGATTTCACAATCCTTAGTGGCTGATTATTTAGCCTCAGAAGGGGATGCCTATCTTCCCAGCCCTAGGGTGAATGCAGACTTTGCAGCTGCTGCTTTGTGAGCAGGGGATTGAATGAAAAGAGAAATCAGTTCAGAATTAAGGGGTGAAATAGGCCATTAAAACTCCACTCACATACCAAACTGCTGCCTCAGGGAGTTGTAAACACCAGAGCAAGAAGGAGGGAGAACCAAGAGAGGGAAAGGAAAGAAAAAAGGTGGGAGAGGAAAGGAGAAAAGGATTAGAAGTGGGAACTGAGAAATAATGAAATATGCTAATAGACACATACAAAGCATCCACCTGTTTTGGGAGAACTGAGCAGGAAAGTCAGACTATGGGCCTCTTGCGACTTTGGTTATTGTCTCTTGGAATCATGAATTGTCATGATGGACGTCACTGTAAGAGCTCAGGAAGATATTTTGAGTAGATACCAGGACAGGTTGATGAATATGAGCTGGCTATGTGGTAGGCCACACAATAGTGCTTGGAGGCCCATTACCAGGGCAAAATATAAAGATATGGAAAGATTTCTTTTTACTCCCAGTGGAGAACTATAAATGTAAAGGTGCTTTTCACTTTCTTTATTTTTCTGGCATGTATACAGGCCTAGATGCTAAGGGGAAGTCTTTTAACAAGTGTCCATGTATAAATTGCCAAAAAATTAATTCCGACTCTGTCTCCAAATTATCTGTGAAACACTTGTAAACTAAATGTATGTGTCACTAAATATTAGTTCCCTAGACTGAGACTTAAAAATAGCTCAAAGATGATAAGTAAAACAAGAATATTTTTCAACTCTCCATGCAATAAAAGGGCAATATGAACTATAGAGAAGCTTTAAACCAGGGGTGTCCAACCTTTTTGAATGTGGGGCCGGATCATGAACTTTTTATCACCCAGTGGGCCGGCGAGCCATATTCATATTGTATCACCCCGCGGGCTCGTATGTTGGACAAGCCTGCTTTAAACTGTCTTATTAACCCTTGGGGGTTATACCCCTAAGGAGTAGAATACTGGTTCACCAGACACTGCTTTCCATTGAACATGAGTGCAGAACTATGCTGCCTTCACTCCTTCCCGCTCTTCATTCACATCTGTGGGATCCTGAATTCCAGTGTGTTTCTGGCCATAAGAAGACACAGCATGGGTCAGTTCTCATTGAAGTCAGTTTCCAAGTCTGTTTCTACAGAAATCAGTTAATTTCAGTCTACTGACTTGATATTGCCATCAAAACTGCATTTTGCTGCGGTTGCTTGTCAGGAAGAAACTGGGTCAAAACTACCAATTTGTTTACACATGGGTCACCAAAAAGCTGTCAGACAGCAGTGCTTTTAGGTTATTAAGGATACATGGTTCACTTGCTCCTTGAAAGCACTTCCCCATGTTCATTGGTTGCCTGTACGTGCATCACTTCACTGGATGCTCCAGGAACTGCAGTGAATGAAGATGCTTTAATAGTCTTTTAGAGGATGCAGTATATGCATGGCCAGTGCAGGGTCACAGCTTGAGGCTCCTTGGATAGACTAGTGCCACAGTGCATGATTGTCCTCTGCAGTTCTCATTTGTAAGGATGTGCTTCATCTTTTTACTGGATACCCAAGCAGGGCAGTTTGAATGGGAATCAACAATACAAAAGAAAGAGTTCTCCATTTAATTTATGAAATCTTGAGATCTCAGGTCCTTTTTAACTTGGCTATTTAAGGTGGTGACCTTTTCTAAAATGCCATTTTTATTATGGCTCATTTCTATGGCTGAGCTATTTTTTTTTTCTAATTTAATTTTTCTTTTCCTCTGAAATATTTTTTGACTCTGATTTTTCTCTTTTTCAAACCTTAATTCTTTCCATTTTTCTTAACTATGATCACAATGAAAAGAAATATTTTAAATGTTAATATAACCACAATCTTTGCTATGTAAAGCACCTTTTATTACTGGGCTGCATAGCCTTTGGTGGTTATGAACAGGAATTTTCAAGTTACAGCAGCAGCAAGAGTCTTTCTCTGCTATTCTTACATGAAAGAGAAACTTACTGAAAAATATAAAGCAATTAAGAAGGCCCTTTCTGTTGTTCATAGAAAAAAATGTACGCACATATAAGTTGATCTTTACTACATGTCATTACTTGTTCTATAAAAAATTGGGGGAAATTTCTTCCCAACACATGCATATGCTCACACATTTTGCCTATCTAGTTCCCCAGGGATAGAGTGCCTACTGAAGTTGTGTTTATGATTATTAGTGATTACTTGTGTTCAGAATCACGTATGTTGAATATCCCTTTTGCTACACAAAGGCAAAGTAAGCAGGCATTGTGCAGGCTGCTTTGTATCTCAATAGTCAGTAATTCCAGTTCATAGGATGGACCAAATCTGGACAAGAGGTGCTCATCACTGGAGCACTATAAACTAACAGAACTGGATATGCATGTTTCTCCCTGTCTGGTCACTCTTCTTGCTCCTTTCCCTCATCCATATAAGGTCTTCAAGTGCCATCTGGGCCTTCTGTAAGCAGGTAGTTTAACTCTAAAAGATAGGGACCTCAGTTGTGCCAAGCTCACACAGGAGACAGAGCTGTCCTTTACTTATTTCATCTGGCAATGAAAAGTTTTCCTATCTTGAATATTTTATACATACTTCTGCTGAAGGCTAAAAGAACAGCAATTATGATGCAAGTCAGAATCTCTTGTTCAAGAAATAACTTTTCAGTTTCAGGAAAGCAATGATGAAGGTTAATGCTTTTCCTAAGATAACAAGCTTTCAAATTCAAGTCACTGTCAGATTACACTTCACACTATTACTGTGCTTGATATGTGCCATTAAAGGTCATCATTGAGCAGCAACACACCCGGAAATGTGACATTTTCATAACTACAGCTTTTTTTATTGGTGTTTATAGGAGAAGCCCAGATGTACAAGCAAAGGAAGAATTATGGAAACACATTCAGTAAGTATTGTTACATTCAAATTGTTTGGTTCCTTTATATAAATTATAAAATCAAGGTGTGGGTAGAACATTTTGCAAGAATGAAAAGAGCTTTTAGGAATGTTCAACATTTGCAAGTAAACAAGAATAGTAAGATGGAGCAGAGCTGGAATTAATGAGTGTTGGAGGCAGTATGTAGGAAGGACAGTCACTGGGGCCTACTTTATCACTGCCTTGCATTCAGTGTAGTCTTTATGCCTGTGTTAAAGTCAGAATGGTAACATTTAATACTCACCTGGTTTTGGTACTGCGTTCTACCCACATTGTACCAGTATCAATGACTACACAAGGCCAACATTGGAGAAAGCCACATCTGCTGACTTAAAGAAATCCCCCACTCCTCGTTCTATCTATGCTGGTCATTTTCACTCCTGTGTATTTCTTTGGGAGTTCAAATGTACCTCCAAACGTACTTTTTGGACTATATATATTGTAAGAGCCCAGTTAGGATCATATGCACTGTTCTACTTTGTCTGAATTTTATTTATTATAGAAAAATATGATTTTACAGTCTAAAAAGGTGAGAACAGGTAGGTGGAAGATTGGGTTGAACATACTGGCGCAGCGATCAAGGTGATATTAGATACACCTAGTAGATTTCCTTTGTTGGCATCATGGTAGCTTTACTGCTGCAGAGTTTGGTTTGGAAAATCTTATTTGCCTTTTACAACAAAAGGAAGAATTGTTTTCTAAGGATTCAGTATCAAGTGCATCTTCATCATCTGTCTAATCCTTTCCAGGAAGGAACTTGTGGATCCAATTGGCTTGTCTGAGGAACAGTTAAAAGAGATTCCGTATACCAAAATAGAGTAAGTTTAATTTTTCTCTCTAGAAGTTTTCAAGTGCTTTCCTTATCCCTTTCATTAGGGTCTCACCCTGGAATAGTGTTTTTTTGAGACTAAGAACAGCCTCCTGCTTTCTTTCTCCTTTGAAAATATTGATTCTAGGATGAGCTGGATAAGGTTGGTGGAGGGCAAAGGATACTTCAATGACTCTTAAACCAAAGATTTTTCATCCAGCTTCTATGAAAATTTCCATCATCTGCTGCTATGTTGTGTGTCAGTATTTGTTCTAATATAGCATGGGGAAGAATCAAGGAGGCCTTGGGAACATGCAGAAAACACATTTTTTGCTGAACCCTTGCTTTGCCCCCCTTTTTAATGTCCCTTTTTAATTCTGATCACCCAGAATGATTGCTTGACATGTTGACCTCTTTTCCCGTTTATCCTGGGCAGCTGCCAATACATAGTAGTTTCCTCCAGATCAGGTGTCCGTTTCACTCTGGCTATCCAGGATGCTGTCTAGTGGTGCAGGCAACTGCTTTTGACAGAAGCAGTATCTCAGTTTGCATTACAGTGTGCTTCCATTGCATCACTGAGCAAAAAAGAAAAAAAAAGATGGTGATGGTAAAACTTCTGCAGGCTGGATTTTTAGATTTTTAATTTTCTTGAATAAGTTCTCTCCCAAGCACATGCCTTCATCAAGAGCTGAGTGTTTCATTTACAGTTATCGTTGCAACTTAAAATATGAACTTTCAAGTACAAACACACAAAGAAAGGGCTGGTCCTTTGAATTTGATAAGTACAGGACGATGCCTGTTAATTGAAAAAAGGATTTTCCGGTTTGAGGTTAAATCTACTTTTGAGGCCTCAGAAGTCTCAGTAGTATTGACTGCATATTTTGTTTTTCACTTAGGACTCAAGGTGATCCAATCCGTATTAGACATTCACACTCTCCTCGAAGTTACCGGCAATATCGGCGTTCACAGTGCTCTGATGGAGAGAGATCCGTTCTGTCAGAAGTGAAGTACGTGGGATGTTACTTTTAGCACTGGCTTGTTTTAATGTGGCACAGATCTTCCTCAAAGATCACAGATAAATTAGAAGTAGCTTGTCTGTGACATGTATACTACTGTTGGCTGCGATAGATCTCGGGCATCTCTGGAAAGTGGGGTTTCTTTAGAGCTAAGGACTCAATGAAGCACAAAACATTTGTAGTCTTCTAGACCATGGATGATTGTTTTGTGCTATGCTGACCCGTTCAGAAAAAAATGGGCACTTCCTACAGAAATCAAAACAAACATACTCTGCTCTTGAGCAGTAGGTTAGGAAGATGCTTGAGGGAAAAGGAGGAGAGCTTACGTGGATCAACTTCCAGGTGCCTCTGCCACTTGGAGTCAGTCTGTCCATATCAGCAATGTTTGTTGGAAGCTGCAATACAGTCTTGCTCATCTGTGAGTGGATAGAAAGAAACTAGCTGAGCAGATCACTTATGAACTTCAAAAAATACAAAAAGGGCCTAATTCTCAGTTACAGGAAGGACTTAAAAGGGGATAAAAACATTTGAAAAATATCATCTACATAAAAGGCTTCCCCACCCAGTGTACAGAATAGTGCAAAGGCTCTACATGGCTGTGCTCCCAGTACAAAGTATCTGGAAGAAAGGGAAAGAAGAGTCCATCTTGCTCCCTATTTGTTGGGAGGGACTTCTCTTTCTGGCCGTCTTTTAAGAGGATTGTGTATTTACAGATCATTTTTTCCGAAGGGATCAGCTTGAAAACTGAAACTAGAAACCCATTTGCTCAGAATAGTGATTTGAGCCTCAGGTGAGCCCACACCTACATTGCTAGGTTGCTTGGTACCCGCTGGGCACACCTAGACGTGCAATTAGTGTGATGCAATAAACTCCAGTGCACACCGTGCCTGAGTTTAGTGCTCCCAGATGCTGTGTTTGAATGTGTGGCTGGGACTGCAGCATGTTGAGCTGGGTTGGAACAGGTTGAGCTGGCAGGGGGCCCCGGGGGTCAGGCAGCCCCCGCAGTAATGCACCCTCATGCCCCAGCCAGCCATGTCAGAAACTATACATGCATTGCTGTGCAGTAAATAATACCACAGCAGGATAGTACTTGTATTTACAAGTACTAACCTGTGGCAGCACTTACTGGTTTACTGCAGCCTAATAGGGCTGCATGGGTAGTCATGAAGACTTTACTGCAGAGCTAGTTAGGAAGCTGCAGGAAATGTCTTATGTAGATACATCCTCTGTATTTTTCATGGTGCTAATCATTAACTGAGCAGACCAGAGTTGCAGATTTCTTCCTGGGAAGAACACCACTGAAACTTAACTAGGTGTTATATTTATACTAAAAATGAGATTCTTCCCTTCCTGATTGGGAAAAGTTCATGGAAGCAGATATACCATGGACCAGCTGCCATGAAGAGACTATTTTGGTTTGATTGCATCCTAAATGTATGTTAAAATAAGGTTTATTTAGAATGACTTATTCAGTTATTCTCAATGGCAACTGACTATCCTTTGAAGAGATAACCACCTAATGACTGTACAGATGGGACATTTTTGTTTTGCACTGTTGTCTGTCTTGCATTCCTGAGCCATGTTCTTTTGGGTGGAAATTAGCTTTTGGACATCCCATACCACTCTCTGGAAGAAGGCAGCTTGAGAGCATCCTCTGCAGGGCATCCTAAACAACCTTTAACTCTATGAAATCTCAGGAAAAGGAGAATCCTCAGAAGTAAAAGAATATATTCAGAAACTGGCACATACCAGCAAGAAAAGGATCCTAATGGAATGTCAGTGCTAGGCATCCAGACTAGACTACATTTCTACCCACCTCAACAATTAAGTAAAAGAGGGATAAAGAATGGCCTCAGTACATGGACTGCGAACAGTGGGGAATGGTTACAGTAATTGAAGGTGACCATTTAGCTAAGACCTGTCCCTTACTTCAGGACTCAGTATTGGAGTTAGCATGGAGGGGTCTGGCCCCAGCCTCACAAGAAGGTCTGGGATGGATTCTGCCTCGAAGGATGGGTCTGTGATTTCTCCACCCTTTAAAACTGCAGGAGACCTGGAGACTTAAAAGCAGTTTTTTTCCCAGCTGTATTTGCAGTCAGTACAGTTGAGTTAGCTGTTGTTCTCTTTGGTATGTTAGCAGACTAAAATATCTTACCAGCTTATGCCAGCAGAGGGTTCTTGCCCAGACACTGTCACCCATGGACAGGGGCAGATCTGGGGGTGAAGTGGTACAGATGCACCCCCCCCCTTTCAGTCAGTCATGCTAGCATAGCAGCAGCTGGGGACTTTTTTTTTAATCCCTGAATCGAGAAATAATTCTCTCCTTCCTTGCCCTCCCTCCCCTGCCCACTGCTGTTGCTGGCTCCAGCTGCCCCAGAGGTGGGTGGTGGGGGTGGGGGTGCGTTCCAGAGCTGCTCTTGCTCACTCCATCTGGGCTCTGTGTGGAGCTGGGCTCAGACAGGGACAGTGGTAGCAGCTGGCCAGTCCTTCCTCCCTGCCCGGTTCCCCTGGTGTTCCCTGCCAGCCTGGAGGAAAGGAGCCTGCCTGTTGCTGCTGGTGGTATCTCTACCTCCAGCTGCAGCAAGACTGGAGCCCCCCACCACTCCCTGCTCATCTGATGGCAGTGGTAAGTGAGGGAGGAGGAGAATGAGCAGGGGAGGGAAGGAACATGTTGCTCAGCATAGAAAAGGGAGGTGGGGAGGGAAGACTCTTACCTACTTACAGGACTTAAAAGTCTTGCTGCTGTTTCTCTTGTGCTGTGGTTTGTCCATCCTAGTGTTTCAGGGAGGCTGGTAGCCAGGGTGCAGCTACTCCTGGCAACATAGCTTGCTGCTCCTGCATCCTCCTTTCTAAAGTCCTAGATCTGTCCACGCCCATGGATCTCAAGCTTGCCATTGGTTGGTGTCCCCCTCCACCCTACCCCTGGAGTTCACATCTGAAATCAGGAAAAATCTGGGAAATACTGTACATTAATCCTGGCAGATGTGGCATTCCTGTGCCTTCTGCACTATGTCATTTGCCATTACCAGTAAGGAATTATTAGGGACTGAATACGAACCCTTTTGGGATGCTCCCCTTGGAAGTGGGGAAGAAGCTTGGTACAGATCCAGTGCCACCTCCTCACCCTGTTTAATATTGCAGAGAGCTGCCACTGAGCACAGCCCAACAGCGTGCAAAGGAGGGGAGTCTCCTTTCTGTGGCCTTTTTTTGATCAAGATTTCCATGCAGCAGTTTCCCTGGTAGTGAAGCTCTCTGTGGCCTATAAAAAAGCCACTGATGGGCTTTCTTTTTTTCATATATATATTAGTGTATATTTCATTTTCTTCCAGTGCTAAAACTGATCTTGTGCCTCCATTGCCTGTGACTCGTTCCTCAGATGCTCCAGGTCCCAGCATCCCAGCTTCACAGCAGGTGGGTAAATGGGCAATTCTGAAGATTTTCCTAGTGACATTCCCTAGACCAATATTGAAAAATGGAGGGGAAAAATTAAAAGCCCAATCTAATGTGTTATTTAAAATCAGTATTTTGTTTTCCATGCATATAATGCTGACTGAGATCCTTCAAGAGATTTAAATTACGTAGAACTTAACTGCTTAAAGATACGCTTCATGTTTACAGTCCCAAATCAAATTGCTAGGTACACTGAATTACATGATGTACCACATTGCAGTTACTATTATTTGGAAGCAGAGCTGACCTGAGCAGGGTGTGGGGCCCGGGGCAAACAAGCTTGTGTGGGGCCCCATCCCCACCCTGATCCTGCATGCCCCAGATGCAAAGAAGCTGCTGCTGCCATCGGTGGTGAGGGTGGGGGGATAGTGAGTGGCCAGATGTGAAACTGGCAGTGGTGGTGCAGTTGCCGCAGCCATTCTGCCCAGCTCCGCGGGGCCCCCCAAAGCGTGGGGCCTGGGGCTGTCATCTCGATTCACCTCCCCCTAGGGACGGCCCTGTTTGGAGGGCTGGTTGGAAAGTTTGTTCTATCCATAGGAAGATCAACTTGGAAGTTCCTGTGCCCAGGTAGCTGCTAAACTTTTAATTAACATTTTCCTAATGTTAGCTTAAACTAACATTAAGAGCAGGTTAGATACTTTTCTAGAATGGCTTGGATGGGGATGATCCTGCCTTAAGCAAGGAGTTGGATTAGATCAGGGGTTCTCAACCTTTTTTGTACCAGGACCCATTTGTAAACACCGGTGGCCAGTCCTGACCCAGTACCCCTCACTCCTGACCCACTGCCTCCCCCGGCCTGAGCCCCCTCACGTGTGGGGTACGGGGTGGGGCATGGGAGGGCCCAAGCAGCCCCTTGCAGGCTGGAACTCTGCCAGCCTGCAAGGGAAAAGCCAAAGTTTCCTGCATTTTTCTCCTTTAAAAGAGCAGCTTTTTAAAGTTTGTTCGCAACTTTTTTGATATACTCATGACCCACTTTTGGGTCACAACCCACAGGCTGAGAAATGCATTTGGTGGACACTGCTCGTTCCCCACTGCCCTTGTGGCACCCTGCAGCTGTGCACCCAGGCAGCTGCTCCTCACTCAGGGGGGCACACCTCACCATGGCCAGGTGCTGCAGCCTGCAGACGCTGCCCACAACCTCCTGCCCTCTCCCCTTGCAGCACCCTACAGGGTGCCACACGGGGAAGGGGCACATGAGGCACAGGCAGTGTGTAACACTTGGGTGGGGCAGGCCCCCCCACATGGCACCCTGCAGTTGTGTGGCATGCACCCCTCATGCAGGTATTGCGTACGGGGCTGTGGCATGGGGGGGGGTGGCCACAGACAGCCCCGAGGGGTGGGCAGGGGGATGTGGGCAGTGTTCGCTGGCTGCAATATGCAGCCTCAGGGCAGGATGTGCCCCTCATGCCCACTCCCGATGTAGCACCCTGCAACTATGCACCACACCCCTCCTGTGTTGGTGCTCCTAGTGGGAGAGGGTGTGGCTGCTGGGAGCAGGAAGGGGGCTGTGCCCTGCCCTGCATGCTGTATTCTATGGGTGCTGCCCGTGCCCCCAACCACTTCCCTTGTGGCACCCTGCAGTCACACACCCTGACCCTCCCATGGCCATGCACCATGCCCCCTCCGCTTGGCCACAAGCCACGCCCCTGCATGGCTGGTCCTGCCTCCAGGGGCACAGCCTGGCCCCACCCACCTCGGTCCCCACCTCTACCTGTCCCCTAAGGCTCCAGGCTGCGCATGTGCAGTTGGCCCAGAGTGTTACGGACAGACAGATGGAAGTAGTAAGGCTTTTATTATATTAGAATTGAACTTCGGGCATAAGAAGCAAATGAAATTCAGGCAGCAGCTAAGATTTTATTATAGAATTAGAATATTAAAGGAAACCAAACAACATCATTTAAACGCACAGGAAAATAAAGCAGATTTCTACCTAGGGTTCTGGTCTTAAGACTGGGAGCTACCCCAAATCACTGTCTGTACAGGTGACTTTTCCACTGAAACACAACAGGAACTCAAGCGAAGTTCTGCTACTCTAACAGTACTTAGGGAAGTGGGATGCACTCAGGTAAGTGTAGTTGGCTTTATTTTTGTGGATTAATTAGTCACTTGCTTCCTTAGCGATCTATTTTCTTATCTTTTTATTTTGCTGATGCATGGTGTTGGTGGTGGCACTAGAAATGAGGATTGAAATGCTTTGGGAATTAGGTCCTGGTTCTGAACACTTGTTGAACTGAGCCTTTAAAAATAATGAACTAAATAGATCTGGAAAAAATTCCTGCTGAACCATTCATCATGTTTTCCTATTCTTATCCAAGGCCATTTGGTTTGAATCTGCTGTCCTGGAAGGAGTTAGCACTGCTTCAGTGTCTAGTATCAGCCAAACAAATGCTGTTGGACCATTAATTGCTAATTAAGTTTGTATTTGGTCAGGTACCAAATCATTAGGTTGATCATGTAACAGCCATCCAAATCATGGCAAGTGGCAGATGGGGGAAGGGAAGGAGCTGGGAAAGTGCCAGTGCAGAATAAACTAAGTAACAGGAGTGCAAAAAGGAGGGATAACAAGTGGATGTTAGCTTAGTGGAGAAGGAAAGGACAGTTCTTTTCCATGATCAAAGATAAATACCAGTAGCTGTGCTTCCACAGTGCTTGAGGGGGGGAAGCATGAAAATCAGAGCTTGTCACATCCTTGAATTTCCTTATCGCCGATGTTCAAAGTAAGCAAGTACTCAAGATCTCATTCTCTCTAATGCTGGTAGTTCATTTTTATCCGATTGTCCCATTAGTTTAATGGTTAGTTCTGTTTTCTTGATGTCAGCATACAAGGAGAATATAACAGCATTTTTAGTTGAGTATTAAAAATAATTTAGCCAGTTCTCTTTTTAATATATCAGGTTTCAGGAACCACCCTATGTGAGTGCCCACTGTCTTCAACTTGACTCTCAAGACAGTCAGATCCCAGTGCAGTATTGAGATTAGGACTGTAAGAAGGGAAGCTGTGAAGAAAAGCGCTGTAATTGAATTGTTTGTTTTTTAGAAGTGTATTTTTACTTGTCTTTGTTCTCTTCAGAAGCGAAGTGGGTCCAAAGATAGCCTGCTTGAAGAAAAATCTCAGATATCCACTATCAACCTGGATGAAAGACACAGTGCAAAGACAATAAAAACTGTACATGCAGCACGCTTCAAGATAGAGACTTGACTGCCGTAACTGTGGAATGGATTCTGTTCCTTAGAAATCTGGAATTATATAATAGTTCTGATATTTGTTAGCTGAACAATGTTTCTTTAGCATAAGGAAAGAGAAGACAGATAAACTGGAATGACAGTAATTTTCTTAGAATATTCAAAACTCCAAGCTGCTGCTTTGCAAAAGTAAACCCATTTTCATCACTGGAGCTAGCTATGGTGGTTCAGTGATTAAGAAGTTTTCGAGATTATTCGTCAGGCACCTGACAATTCTTCTTACGCATCCACCATGATCCAGAGGATTGACGGTTGCCTACTACTACTGTTTAGACAGCTGGAAAGAAAAGTCTTTATGAAACTGAACAATACTGTAATGATGTATCAAATGGTGTGTTGACACTCCATTTCCAAAAGAGGAAGGAATTGTCAAAACACAACTGACCTACGGTCTAATCTAATTCAGTCACCATGTCTTCAAATCAACTGTGTCAGCTAAAGTGGCCATGGATAGATGCTTCAAGGACAGGGTAAAACCCTTCATAACGTTCTTGGCCAATTGTGCAATACAATATGACAGGGAGGAAGTGGTTTTTAGATTCCACCTACGAATCAGCTAATGCCCTAAAGCAAAAAGACTGACTGCTCTTTATATGTATTCTAGCCTAGCACAACAGCAAATATTATTGTTCATATAAACTGCTGATACCACATTTAGGTCTTTCTAAGATAATTTTCTCAATACTATCCTGTGGTAGTAAATTCCACAGGTTAATTGTCTTATGTAATGATGGACTTCTTTGAGCAATTTTAAATGTGTTGTCTGTTTTGAATGCGTGAATGAATACCTAAATGGCCTTTTGTGCACCATTTACATTCTATTGTATCTCCTTAAGTTTTTCCATATATACAGCATAGCCCCCCACAACTCCCCCACCGGGGCAGAGGCAGGCACAGCCAGAGATGCCCCCATGGCTGCCCTACCTGGTCCCATCCTCCTCCTGGCACTTAAAAAAAGACAACAACAACAAAGACAACAAACCTCCCCCTGCACTCTGGCAGCAACAACTGGGGCCTCTGAGGGCTCATGGCAGAGCCCCCCTGTGCAGTGCAGGGCAGTGAGGATTGCCACTCCCCTCTCCCCCTCCTCCCTGCTTGACACCCACGTGGCAGCTGCACCGTGGTGTGTCTGCAGCACGACTCAGCGTGCTGGGAACTGGGGAGGCTCCATGTGTCAGCTGGAGCCTGGCATTGCTCAGCCCATTGCCAGGCAGCGCACAGTGTCCTGCCGAGCCACACTGCACCTGTACCATGGGGCAGGTGCCAGGTGGGGGGGTGACCCCCACTGCGTGGGGGTGCTCTACTGTGAGTGCCCAGAGGCCCCAATCGCAGCTGCTGCAGCTGGCGAGTGTGGGGCTTTAAAAAAAAAAAGTGCTGGGACTAGGCTGGGGCCAGGCAGGGCAGCCATGGGGGCTTCTCCCATGGCTTCCTCCACCTGTGGAGAGGCAGGCACAGCTGAAGGAGCCACGGGAGAACCTGCAGCCATCCATCCGGCTGTGCCTGCCTCTCCCTGGCCAATCCGAGTATCTCCAAATCTTATAGTTCCTTATTCACATAGGCCTAACGTAAACCACTGTGAGGCCCCATGTGAACTTGTAGATCCAATTATGTACTCTGTTAATCTGAATCCAAAATGACCCCTCCAATAATTAAATTCTTTACATGGGAAATTATAAGATGTATAAGTTTCCATGTATTGAATCTAATTATTGGAAGAGGATCTTAAATTTGTCCCCATCACCACTGCAGCAGGGAAAGCAGTGGTGGAGGGTCAGGCATTGGGGAGCAGGGAGGGAGTGATGAGGGTGACAAGCAGCCTGCCCCCTACAGCCTCAGGCCCTTGCCCCCATATATTCCTCTTGCAGCCTCAGGCCTCATGCAGCCATCTCCTTGGAATACCAATAATACATCCTCTCCACTCATCAAAATGGGAGAATATAGTGCATTGTGGGAAGTGTAGTCTAACTATCAAGCCTGATACGTGAGAGAACTGGTATGAGATATCCAAACAACTGTGAGGCAGTAATCAATGCCTCGTCAGTTTGAATCATTTTTTTTTTAAATCCAAATATTCTGTTTAAAAAACTGAAACTTTCTGTAAGGGGGTGAGGGGAAGGAATCCCATTTGTCAATTTGCTTGAACATTTTTAGGTTTTACATTCTCTTTAGAACTTTTACAGTGCTTGAATGAATGCCATTCAGTCCTGAACGTATTTGCCTTCTGCTGCAATCCAGTGGAGCATTTAGGATTAGGTTGATTTGCTGGAGCTGTCCAACAGACACAAAGGCACAGTTCCCAGTTAGTCTAATCTGTTACTGGTTTTTCTCATACTTTTGACAGCTCTACACCTTCACAACCAGTAAGCAACAAAGAAGATTAGTGTTAGAAAATCTATTAGTTTCCCTGCAATTTCTTTATGCTGTAATAACAGCATTCAGATTGGTATTCAAAAAGAATTAAAGACAAAACATGTCTTTTAAATGTAGTCCAAATAGTTTAAACTCCTGTTTAACTGCTAATTTTAAGCAGTATTTCCATGTGACTGATTCCATGTGACGGATGGAATCAATCATTGCTCCTTGTTATACTATAAGGGCCTTATCTATAGGGTAAACTTTAAAAAACCCCACCTTTCCTACTGAAGCAGTGTCGTGTAGTGTCACCCCTTGAAGACCAAGGATATCAAAAATCATGACTACCCACTTAATTCTGAGCAACAGAAATGACAGCTGGTTTGGGAAGGCACCTTAAATCAAAATCTCTTTTCATAGTAAGCTGTTCCAAGCTGCCTCTTGATGTTGCATTTGCCTGTTTTGTTGCTTTCACGATCTTTTTCAACTTTCTGGTTTCTTTGCCACAGAGATGCCCTTGTAGAAAGCACCTTTTCCTGTAGAGCAGTGGCCAGTATTTTTGGCAGGTATGCCACAAGTTAGCCCCATACCTTCCCCAAATGCTATTTTGATCCCCTTCCCCTGCCTAATCTGCCTTCTGCTTCCTTCCCTGTGGTCCCTGTCCAGTTTCGCTGCTTTGCTTCCTGCCCTATCTGCCACAGTGCTGCCTGTCCCTTTCTTGATGTGTCGCATGATACTAGTGGCATCCACCTCACAGGCTGGCCCATCCCTGCTATACAGTATATGTTCTTATGATCTGAACTTTGTGTCAACATTTTCTGAAGAGTAGCAGGAAATGCAATGGATAAAGCTATTCCTATACAACTGACCTGATGTTTTTCCTGTATTATGTAGTCTGTCTACAAGTTTTGTATAGCATCTCAGGAATTAGAGCCAGAAATTGTGGCATTTTTGCTTATTTCCAGTGTCTCTGAAATCGGTTTCCTGCATCCCCCAACTTTTCCATTTATGATTCTTTAGTCAGAGGGTTCAGTTCTCATTTGCATTATTTTGTGTACCTTTTATCTTTCTATCTGGAAGTAGATTCACTCATGATTCTAATGAACCTAACAGTCTTACTGTGTAGCATGGCTATTTCTCAGCAGCTGCTATCTTAGTCCTAGCTCCTATTTTTAAATAATCCTTTAATACCTAGTTTACTTTCAATGCTGGTTGTCTTTTCCCTTAATTAAGGAGGAAATCTTGTCTATTTGTCCATGACCAATACACTAAGCCTCCAATTCTCAACCATCTTCTCTCATTCACATATTGAAACACAAATTCCACGTCTCGCCAACTTTGTTAATGTAGCAAGAAGCATTTTTGGGAAAGTTAATAGCGAGGCCCTAAGTTTAAAACTCCTGGTCTTATTTCCAGTGGGACAATAAGGTTTGTAAACAACCTATTTTTCTACACATAGTATAATTAGGCATGCAAATCATTATTCAAAACAAAACCTTAATAATTGTGTACCACAGTTAAACTGAGAATAATCCACATATTCAAATACGTGTACTGAAAAAAATTATCCAGTTTGTTCTGAGTGCCAAAAGTGAGCAAGATTTTGTAAAACCACAGAAGTATCTTAACATACGGTAAGAATTCCTCCAGTCATTAATATTTAAGTTGTTTTACCTCAGTTGGTTATTATTAACATGGGCATTTCCTTCAACTTGCCTAAGAGTTCAAAGGACCTTTATTCAGAGGTGCTACAAGGCTTGCCAAAAACACTGATGGTATTGCTGCTTCACAGAGTAGGCTGGTAGATAAGAGTACTGTACAGGACTAAAACTGAGACCTTGGTTCTGTTCTTGGCACTTACCTACTGGCTGGCCTTGGGCAAGTATTTTCACTTCACTGTGCCTCAATTTTCCCTATCTTGCAGACAGGGATAATACTGACTTCTTTTATAAAGCATTTTGTGATGAGAAACTGTTTTTATTTATCTTTATATCCCACTTTTGCTCACCCATCAGTTTAACACCCCTGCCCTTGCTGCTTGCCAAGTTGTAGGTTGTCTACAATAAAAAGTTGTCTACCTTAAATCAACTCCTGCTGCCTGTCCCTGATTCCAGCCACGTTCAAACTCAGTGGCTGGTCTCTTCTCTGTGAACTAACCTTGTCTCATCCATATCCATGCAGCTCTTGTTCAGAGTCCCCATCTTTAACTCTTTCTTAGGCTAAACTCATTTTACTGCAACCCGCTGGCCCCAAAAATCTGAACATTTTTTTCCAAATAATCCAGGTATCTTTGTACAGTTATTGTCCAAAGCTATTTAAGATGGAGTGAATTTTAAGCTCCCTCATTATTTCAGGAATCTTGTTTATTTTACAGTTAGTTATAAAGATGGTTATTTTAAAACATATGCATAAACTCAGAGAGTAAAGTATATATATACTTTATGTAAATTAAGTTAATTATTATCCAAGAAACCACTATGTGCTTTGAGTTTGACTAATAGTTGTCAGTGTCAGTACTTGTGTCCAAGTTATTTAAAATCAAGTAAAACTGTTGAATGTTAGGGCACTTCATGGTTGCATGTTGTGTGTTTTATTTGTAGTGCATAAAAGAATTTATAAATTCACTGGACTAATCTGAAGATAACATCTAGTCACAACACTTTTGTGAGACCAGCTGAAATCATCTTGGTAATATAGTTTCAGAGTACAGTGCAGAAACTGAAAGTAGCATCTGTGAGTGCTTTTAGAGCCATTATGTATATTTATTATAGAATTTCCTTTACTGATTTAAAAGGAAGTGAGAAGCACCACTCCCACCTACTACATAACTTTTCAAAAACAAGCTGCCCAAGGACATGTAAGCTCCCTAAAACATAGCTTACCTCACCTATTACTTCCTTCCTACCAGACTCACTCAGTGGAATGAAACTTCCTCTTTTCAAGACAAATATTCCTATGTGCTTAATTATGTTGATAAGAGCTGTAATGCAACCTGTACAACAGCTCTAAGGTCAGACTGAGGCGGCAGGGTTGACTCAAGACTGATCATTTTTTAAATTACTATTAACTCTCAAGTCTTGTTTAGATTACTTGTTTGTAAACTGTGCACTTAACCTCACTTCGGAAGAAAAAACCTACGCCTTCCTACTTTAATTTTGGGCATGGAACATAGTTCTACAAAAACTTGCATCTGACCTTGCATACTACTGTGATGAGAAGTCATGGTTTCCCAGTTAAAAAATGCTACCCTCTGCAGTTGGAAAATGAGAGAGATTTTCCACAATGTTAAAGGACAATGATGAATAACTATTACAAGCAGTTACTGATTTTTATTGAGTGGGTCTGATCCTGATAAACTGAACACATTGAGTATCACAGAACACTTGAAGTGATTTTTGTCATGTATCTATTTTGGGATGGATGCCTCCCTGGTATTGGCCAGAGCTCCTGCCTTGATGTAATATACCTTTCCTAACAAAAGGTTAGTTTAAACTGATATATTTTTACAAGAGATTTTGATAAATTATCAATAAAAAAAATGCCAAAGTATTCTGTTTAAAAAAAATAAAAATCCACCAACCATGAAGTCTTTAGTCATGAGACCTTACATACTCCTATTTTGATGATCAAAGGGCAGGGGCAGGGGAAGCCAGAACACAATTAACAGGCAGCATACATACTACTTCACCTACTGATATCATTAAGTTCTCTGGCCAGTCAATGGTGGGCACACATACACATGCACTTTAATGCACATTAACTTATTTTAATATGCATTAACTAAATAGAATTTTTTTTACTAACACTTTAATGCATATTAAAAGACTGATGTACATTGTCGCTTAAAAACCAGGGTCATTTATACACATACCTTTTTGTCTCATGATATGCTGGAGATCTTGTGGGTCAGAGCAGATGTGATTAATTGAGTCTGCTCTGCACATGAGCCAACATGCACTGTGCTGCCTCGTGTGCAGTTAGTTGTATAAGCAGCGAAATGCACATCAGCACACAGAAAATGGCAACGGTGCACTTTTGAACTAAAACACCTTCTGTGTTTTAGTTCAAAAGCATGCTGCCATTTTCTTATCACTGACACACATTTCGCTGCTTATGCAATTGTATGTGCCACAGCACTGAGCATTTTTAGAAGTGCCCAGCGCCGTGGCGCAAGCATGCGCACAAATGCCCCGTTTCTTAGTCAATGCGCATTAAGATAGGCTAATGCACATTTTCTTAGTACCTAACAATGGAGGTACTAGATTTACTGTGCAGTAACTAAAGCATGTTAATGCATGTATAGATGCACCCAAGCATTCCTAAAAACATTTTGTTCTCAGGAAGAAAATGTCATTGGTCATTCACTAATCGACACAGTTTGCTTTCATTTATTATATTAAGCCTCCATCAAGTCTACCTGGATTGAAGAAGTCACTGTGGCTTGCTGGTACTAATAACTATGAATATAATGAAGTAATTATGGCCTTTTGCTTACGAAAGCTTATGATCTATATCTCTGATTTAGCTATTTTTAAAAGTGAAAATCTATCTCATCTTCAGCTAAAAAACTGAAAATCTCCTCTCAAGTTGGGATTCATGGCCTGTTTTAAAGACACCAGGAACCCCCTTCTGTGGAGCAAGTGCTAGGAACAAGGAGCGCAGGGTGGCTGTGACTGCCACCTTTTGTTTGTTCTTAGATGCAGTCTTTTTATCAATATATTTTGCTTTGTTATTGGTCTACTCCTTAATTAAAGTCACCTACTCTATGCTTTTCCTAAATCAAGCTGCCCAAGGACACTTACCTCCTTAAAACAAGTTTTTCCTTATCCATTTAGTTTGTGATATGTTTTTAAATAACTGTTGAAATCTTTTCCTCCCTCTGTTTTGATCCTTCACCACCTACATTAAGACTGTTGGCCAGAAAGCAGATTGTCAGCAAAAGAAAGGAAAAACTCCGGACTCTGACTCTACACCCCTTCTTGCCTTGTAAAGTTTTCCTTGGGCAGCTGAGGAGGAAGTGACATACATCCCATGCCTATTGGCTTTTTAGGGACTAAAGTTTCCAGAACTATTTAATGGAATTGGTCATTAAGATAACACTAGGAACAACCAATTAAAAGTAAAAGCACATAATCCCATAAAAGGTGTATGATTACATGATGGCCAGTTCCAAGCCACTATATCAAGAGAGTTAATCAGGCACTGATAAGCAGGAGTCCTGGTTTTCTGTTAAAAAATCCAAAATTCTCCCAAATAACCCCCCCCATATCTGCATTTTTCTACAATTAAAATGGAACACCACTATATATAGAGGTGTCAGTTGAACACAATGTTTTACTGATATATTTACAATTTTAAAGCAATTTGGAAGCCTGCCAGCGCCTCAATCATTATAATAAAATAAATAATACCTATATATTTTGGCATTTTTTATCATGAAAAAAGTCAGAGCTCCCCCTGCCCCTTTCACTCACCAGGACATGGGTCCAGCTGCAGCTGTTATACCAACCTCCCTCCCCGCTGCTTTGTAGTACTGAACGGCCCTGACATGCTGGTGCCCTGCCCCTTACTTCCAAGCCACAGTCCTCCTAGTGCCCACAGCCCCTGCCCACTCCCTCCCAGCAGCAGCTTCCCCCACACTATCCCAGGCAATGGGTCCAGCTGCAGCTGTCCCCTACTGCTTTGTAGCTCTGGGCAGTGCCAGCCCCTGCTGTTCTGCTCTCTGCGTCTGTTGGCATCAGTAAGGGCCAGGTTCAAGTTTAGCTTCTGCTCGAGTCCCCATGCAGAAACCTGGGACAACTAGATTTAAACTGGGGTGTCCTGAATGAACAAACTTCCCCCTTGTAAGCAGTGCCCCAACAAGAGAGAGATTTTTTATAGGACAAAGGGAAAAGAAACACAAAGTACAGCTTAAAGTTTTTTTTAAACTTTAAGCCTTAAGTTCTATAGTCTAGTCCCACCTGGGTGCTCTGTTTTTCTCAGCCCTCCTGGGGTCATGCTCTCATTCCAAGGGCCCTCGGCCCCTACTGGGACCGCTCCCCCCCCCCCCCCCCCCCCCCCCCCCCCCC